CATTCCCCTAACCCAGCTACCCCCTTCCTCATTCCCCTAACCCAGCTGCCCCCTTCCTCATTTTTCTTACCCAGCTACCCCTTTCCTCATTCCCCTAATCCAGCTGCCCCTTTCCTCATTCCCCTGACCCAGCCACCACCTTCCTCATTCCCCTGACCCAGCTGCCCCCTTCCTCATTCCCCTGACCCAGCTGCCCCTTTCCTCATTCACCTAACCCAGCTGCCCCCTTCCTCATTCCCCTGACCCAGCTACTCCCTTCCTCATTTTTCTTACCCAGCTAACCCATTCCTCATTCCCCTAACCCAGCTACCCTCTTCCTCATTCTTCCAACCCAGCTACCCCTTCCTCATTCCTTTAACACACTTAACAATCCAGTTTCCTCTAACCCAGCTAACTGCCACCCTTCCTCTAGCCTAGATAACCGCCCCCATTCCTCTGACCCAGTTAACCGCTCCCACTTCTCTAAGCCGGTTAGCTCCTCACTCCTCTGACCCAGTTACCCCTCACTTCTCTAACCCAGTTACCTCTCATTCCTCTTACCCACTTAGCCCGTACCCCTCTAACCTAATTACCCCACATTCCTCTAACCCAGTTACCCCCATTTCTCTAACCCAGTCAGCCCTCATTTCTCCAAACAAGTTAGTGCCCCCCCACTTCTCTAACCCAATTACCCCTCATTCCTCTTACCGCCTCACTCTCTAACTCTGCTATTCCACTAACCAATCACCCAGTGGTCCATCACAGATAGCTTCACACTTATCGAATCAAAATTTTGTATCTGTCAACGAAAGAAACATCGATATAATCATCCTTGGAATAAAATCACATGGGAAATACCTTCAGAGAATAAACAGAGCACGTTGTTCTCTGGAAAAAGAAGGGCAACATGGTGGCTCAGTGGTTAGCACTACTACCTCACAGCACCAGGGACCTGGGTTCGATTCCATCTCAGGTGATCATCTGTGTGGAGTTTGCACATTCTCCCCTTGTCTGTGGGGCTTTCCTCCCACAGTCCAAAGATGTGCCAGTTAGGGTGGATTCTCAATTCTTAAATTGTCCATCATGTCCAGAGATGTGCAGATTGGGTGGATTAGCCATGGGAAATGCAGGATTAGAGGGAGAGGGAGAGGGAGAGGGATAGGATAGGGTAGGGGGTGGGTTTGGCTGGGATGGTCTTTGGAAGGTCGGTGTGAACTCAATGGGCCAACTGGCCTCTTTCTGAACTGTAGAGATTCTATGAAAACAGGCAGCAGATGTTCAGTATCAAAACAGTTCATCCGAGGGAGAACCCCATCACTTAACTGAATACACTTGAAAGTCAGCCACATGAACAAAACAGACGTTCCATCTAGTATTGTGTCTGAGTGACGTGATCATCTGAGCAGATTAGGCATGGGTTAAATATTGCCATAGAAACTGTAACCCCATGATGAGTTTTCACCTTCAGGAGAGGAGGGGAGTCAGGCAATGAGAAAGCATTAGTCAGCAGCTTAACATTGACTAATTCTCAGAAACTGATTGTGGTTTTGGGTTCCATCATTACACACGGAGCATATCTTGCTAACTGCTCTGCAAAGAAGGTGCAGCAAAACAGCAAGGTTTTGAATGAGGCATCTCTACTACCATTCTAATCCTGTACCAGACTGCTATTAACCACTGTGCTTACAAGGTAGCAACTTACTTATTTCCTTTCTTCAATATTTCCATTTTAAGTAAACTGCATCAAGCAATACGTTTAAAATAAATTTCCACAAGAATGTTTACTTCTAATCCTTGTTTTCCCCTCCTGGATTTAATCTATTAACTGGGTGCAGCAAAATTGGTCAAACAAAATAGCCAAACCAGGATAGCCCTGTGTTCCAAACAGTACCCACTTGGTTTAGTGAATCCAGCATGGCAAAGACAGGAGTAAGCAAATTATTGAATCATGCAGCAGAGAAGGAGATCGTTCAGCCCATTGTGATCACATGCGAGCATGTTGAAAGAGCTATCCAATTAGTCGCATTTTCTCTACCGCTGCTTCTTCAAACCCCTGTCATTTCTGTCTCCTTTCCCAGCATATTTTCAATTCCCAGCTAAAACTTACTATTGTGACACTCTTTCAGATAACACATTCCAAAAGAAATGCAGAGTAAGTCTAACAGTACCTGAATGAGAAGGGTAGATGATTTATTAACTTAGGACCCTCAGAATCAATGTTTCCATTTGAAGCATAAACCTTCTAATTTTCTAAAATTAAACAAAGAAATGCTGTTGCTGGAGATCTGGAACAAAAACAGAAATTGCTGGAAAAACTCAGTAGGCCTGGCAGTCTCTGTGGGAAGAAAGCGGAGTTAATATTTTGAGTCCGGTGACTGTTTGTCAGAACTGTTAACAGTTAGGAAAATGTGGTATTTATGCTAAAGACAAGGGTCATAAGCCATCATTTCTGTCACCTCCAGTTGGGATGCCACCGCTAGCCACATATTCCCCGCCCCTCCTTTGTCAGCCTTCCACAGGGATCTTTCCCTCTGGCTCCCTGGTCCAACCCTCCTCTACTCCCAAAACATCCCCATGGGTGCCTTCCCAGGTGTAACACCTCCCCATTTACTTCCTCCCTCCTCACTATCCAAGGCCCCAGACACATCTTCCAGGTGAAGCAGTGATTCACCTGCTCTGACAGTTTTAATATGGAAGGGCAAATTGTGATGGCACAGACTTGGGGCGGGGGGGAACTGAAGGGCCTGTTTCATTGCTGTATTGTTCTTTGGTCTTTGTTCACTCAATCCAGTCTACTGTGTTTGCTGCTCACAATGTGGTCTCCTGTGGGGAAATGAAACAGACCAGGTTACCGCTTTGCAGAATACCTGTGTTCTGTCTGCTAAAATGACCCCGAGCTTCCAGTTGCCTGCCACTTTAACACACCACCCTGTTCCCTGGCCAACATCTCTGTTTCAGGCTGGCTACAGTGTTCCAGTGAAGCCAGGACAAGCTGGAAGAAAAACACCTCATTTGCCATTTGGGAACCCTGCAGCCTTTGAGACTCAACATTGAGTTCAATAACTTTAGAGCCTGATCCCATCCTTCCATGATTTTACCCACTGCCAGACCCAGTCGTGTTGTGACTAGGTAGACAAACAGGAGGCTAAAAGAACACAGCAAGACAGGCAGCATCAGGAGGAGAGGAGCAGTCAACATTTTGGGTATCACCCTTTTTCAGGACCCGAAACATTAACTCTGTTTTTTCCTTCACAGTTGCCACCAGGCCTGCTGAGCTTTTCCAGCAACTTTGTTTTTGTTAATAAGAATTAAGATGGGAATGCCATACAATTGGGATCGAGAGTTTCAGGACAATTTGTTATTACATAAGCTGCCTTTAGAACAATCACCCATTCTCACATTACATTACATTCTCACTCATTTTCTCCTCCTCTTAGTTCTTGTTATCAACGATTCCACTTTTCTTCTGTCCTGACCTGGTACCCTTAATCTCCTTGTTTACCTCCCCTTTCATATCATTTAATCATAAAATCCCTGTCATGTGGAAGCAAGCCATTCAGCCCATCAGGTCCATTCCAAAGAGCATCCAACCCACACCCACCCCTCTACCATTTTCCTGTAACCCCACATTTAGCATGGCTAATCCACCTAGCCTGCACATCTTTGGACCGTGGGAGGAAACCCACGCAGACATAGGGAGAATGTGCAAACTCCAGGTTGGAATCGAACCCGGGTCCCTGGCATGGTCAGGCAGCAGTGCTAACCACTGAGCCACCATGCCGCCCCAATAGCTCTCTCTCGCTCTCTCTCTCGCCTTGATCTCCATCTATCCATCACCTCCCCCCTTCTCCCACCCAACTTCATCAGTGTAAACCCCACTTTTCCCTAGCTGCTAACAGTTCTGATCAAGAGTCACCAGGCTTGAAACGTAACTCTGCTTACCTGTCTTTGGCTTCAGTCAAAGGCTCCCTGCAAAAGATACCTACCAATATTCCACCTCCACCGATTCCTTCAAAAAACCATACCACGAAGGTGAGTTGGTCTCTCTCTGCATACTTTGTTTCCCCATTTGGGAAATAGAGCAAAATATCAGCCACAAAACATGAAACAGCAAGAGGTATCAGAGTGATGCCAATGCACCGTGCATAATTTCCACAATACATGTTGTTCTTTTAAAACACCTGCTTTGGTGTTTAACCCTTGAGTGGTTAACTGGAGTTGATTGGCAATCTTCCTGCAAATGAGGAATTGCGTTTGTAGTTAGCTTGCGGGGAAATAAATACTTGTAGGTGCTCAATTACTCGGGCGTGTCTCTGTTAGAATAAACTTTCCAGGTATGCCATTGAAAACAGTGACCCCAGTAATGCATAGGATATCACAGTCCATGTTTCTAATCTGCAAATTTAAAAGGCTTGAAACTGACTAAGCATAAAAAAAAATCACTCCCAAAAACTCTCGATCCTAATTGTATAGCATTCCCAGTTTAATTCTTATGAACAAAAACAAAGTTACTGGAAAAGCTCAGCAGGACTGGTAGCATCTGTGAAGGAAAAACAGAGTTAACGTTTCAGGTCCGGTGACTCTTCCTCAGAACCTGTGACCCTTCCTCAGAACCAGTCCTGAGGAAGGGTCACTGGACCCGAAACGTTAACTCTGTTTTTCCTTCACAGATGCTGCCCGACCTGCTGAGTTTTTCCAGCAACTTTGTCTTTGTTCCTGATTCATGGCATCTGCAGTTCTTTCGGTTTTTACTTCTTATGAAGTTGTTATACGGTTTGAATTCAGGAACATAAGAACGTAAGAAGAAGGAGCAGGGGTCCATCGAACCTGATCCATTCAATAAAATCATGGCTGATTTTTTCACGGACTTAGCTCCACTTACCTACCGACTCACCAAAACCCTGAATTCCTTTACTGTTCAAAAATCTATCTATCTTTGCCTTAAAAACATTCAATGATTCAAGGAAAAAGCCCAAACCCTGGAGGTCGCAAAAGAAAACATGTCTCATGTTTATATCAAGGTAGAAGATATTGGGTCTACCATTTAGGACTGAGATGAGGAGAAATTCCTTCTCTCAGAGAGCGATAAGCCAATGGAATTCTCTACTACAGAAAACAGTTGAGATCAAGACACTGAATGTTTTGAAGAAGGAGATAGATGAAGGTCTTAGGGCTAAAAGAAACAAAGGGCATGGGGCAAAAGCTGCAACAGGGTATACTGAGTTGGATAATGCACCACGGTCACATAGAATGGCAGAGAAAATTTGTTGGATCAAATGGCCTACTCTTGTTACTCTATTTTCTCGGTTTCCATGTCTATGCTTCAATCTGCAACCATCTCTTGAATGAATAGGTTTGAAGCCATTTTACTAAATCCAGAGATGTAATAGATGTGTAGAACTGTGATGTGCCTGCAGCGGGCTATATGAAAATGTGACTTCTAAGGAAGGGTCACTGAACCCGAAATGTTAACTCTGATTTCTCTGCACGGATGTTGCCAGACCTGCTGAGCCTTTCCAGCAATTTCTGTTTTTGTTTCTGATTTCCAGTATCCAGTTTTTATAACGAAAATATCATTCTAAATAGCATCACTTCACAGCATGGAGAACTCCGCTTCTCCTTTGAGTCTCTGAGGCCCAGTTATCAATGAATACAATTGTATCACACAGAATAATAAACTGAGAAGGTATCAGATGTAGTGGATAGAGAAAAGGCAGTGAAAATAGCATACAGTACTGACAGGACATCACTGACTACTTTTATTTGATTTGATTTGATTTATTATTGTCACATGTACCGAGATACAGTGAAAAGTATTGTTTTGCGTGCCAACCAGACAAATCATTTCTTTACATAAGGACATGAAGGTAGTAGAACAGAATGCAGAACATAGTGTTACATCTACAGAGATGATGGAGAGAGAGATTGATTCTGATATGTGAGAGGTCTGTTCGTAAGTTTGATTACAGTGAGTAAGAAGGTGTTCTTGAATCTGTTGATATGCGTTTTCAAATTTTTGTATCTTCTGCCCAACGGAAGAGGGTGGAAAAGGGTATAATCAGCATGGGAGGAGACTGATGATGGGATGATGTTGGCTGCTATCCCGAAGCAGTGGAGTGTATAGGTTTAGGAAGAAGGTAATTGCAGTTTGGTTGGAGGGAAAGAAAAAGTCAAATGCACTTGTAGCTTTTCAGTGTGACCAGGAGTGCCTAGCAGTGTCCTGTAGGCCCAATCCTGGGCTGTATTGTGCACAGGGAGGAAAATCAATTTGGATATAATGCTGGAAGGAGTTATTTCAAATTTGGAGTGGGAACTAAAATAGCTAAATTACATAAACGAACTCCAAAGGAAGGCAGGATGTAATCCTAATGGTGAAATAGGCAAAACAAAACAATGTAGATGGAAGTTAATGCCAATAGACCTTAAAAAAAATAGGAACAGGAGTAGGCCATTCAGCCCCTCCACCCTGCTCCACCACTCAATAGGATCATGGCTGATCCAACATTCCTCATGTCCACTTTCCTGCCTTTTCCCCATAACCCTTGATCCCCTACTCATCAAGAATCTATCTACCTCAGCCTTAAATATATCCAAGGATTCTACCCCCACAATAGCAAGGAGTTTCAAAGACTCACAACCCTCTGGCAGAATAAATTCCTCCTCATCTCTGTCTTAAATTGGCATCTCTTAATTCTGAGACTGTGCCCTCTGGTTCTGCTTGTCAGTAGCGTTTGCCATTTTCACTGCCTTTTCTCTATCTGCCACATCTGATGCCTCCTTAGTTTATTATTCTGTACGACACAATTGTTAACTGTGCCTCAGAGACTTAAAGCAGGAGCTGAGTTCTCCATGATGTGAACTGATGTTATTTAGAATTACATTTTCATATAAAAACCAAAAGAACAGCGGCTGCTGGAAATCAGAAGCAAAAACACAAATTGCTGGAAAGACTCAGCAGGTCTAGACTCTTCCAGGAGGGGAATCACCTTTCAGCATTTGCCCTGTCAAGCCCCTTAAGAATCTTATATGTTTCAATAAGGTCATCTCTCATTCTTTTATACACCAGTAAGTTGAGTCCCAACCTACTTAGCCTTTACTCATAAGACAATCCCTCCATACCAGGGATTATCCAAGTGAACCTTATCAGAACCGCCTCCAATGAAATGACATCTTTCCTTAAAAAAAAGGGGGGCTAAAACTGCTCACAGTACTCCAGATGTGGTCTGACCCGCACCAGTTGTAGTAAGACTTCCCTGCTCCAACCTACTTTGAAATAAGGCCCAACATTCCATTAGACTTCCTGATTACCTGCTGGCCCCTGTGTGCTAGCTTTCTGTGTTTTGTACACAAGTTTGCCCCCAAGTTCCTTTGTGTTGCAAATTTCTGCAGTTTTTCTCCATTTAAATAATATTCCATTCTTTTGTTCTCCCTTCCAAAATGAACACCTTCACACATTCCCACATTTGTACTCCCATTTGCCAACGTTTTGCCCACTCGCTTAACCTATCAACATCACTCTGTAAACAGTTTGCATCCCTCTTGCAACTTACATTTCCACCTATTTTTGTGGCGTCTGCAAGTTTGGCTGCAGTACTTTCACCTTTCTTCACCCAAGTCATTCATCAATTAACCAATGCATTAGTCAATTCTCTGTCCATGCCAATAAACTACCTCCAACACATGGGGTCTTACGGTTTAACCTTTTGTGGGGTACCTTGTCGAATGTCTTTTGGAAGTCCAAATGCAACACATCTACTGGTTCACCTCTATCCACTGTGGTTGAGACTTCCTCAAAAAACTCGAAGAAATTAGTCAGCACGATTTCTCTTTCATGAACGCATGCTGACTGCTTGATTAGATAATAATTTTCCAAATGTGCTGCTATCACTCCCTTAACAAGTGTGAGGTGGTAGATTTTGTTCATAAAAATGGAAATTAGCAGAATACTTTGAATGAAAGACTGCCATGTAATGCTGGGCTCTAGTTTACTGGATACTAAAAACAGCACAAGTAGGTTGGGGGTTAAACATAGCCGACGGAACACTATAGCCTTTACTTTCATTTCCGGGTCAGCAGCAACAGAGTCGGGAGAAATTCTGAAATTCTCGACCTTTAAGAATAGCTATGGCACTTTGGATTTTCAATCTGAGCTGATGGCCGTGAATGGTAGTCAGTCTAGACATCCCAAGAAGAGTCTAAGGGCTTGCCAATTCCCAGAGCTGGCTGAGCAGAAAGATTGCCTGGGCACTTGGCATCCTGTTTAAAAACAGAGATCAAAACAGAAAATTACACTCCTGTTCTCATCACTTCACTCCCTAAGCCCATCCATTCCAGCCAATGCTCCTGTACCCAAACCCAACCTAATACATCTTTAGCTCCTTATACATCTTATGCCAATCTACCCATCTTCCAATGCTCCTAATGCCCCATATACCTCTAATAATCACATGACTCATTACAGCCCCTATACTAACTCAGCACCAACTCATATGGACTGGCATTTTCCCTTCCATCCCCATGCCAAATCACCTGTTTAGTTCACCAGGATGTTGCTTGGGATGGGGAAATTGAGCTATAAGGAGATACTGGTTAGGCTTAGATTGTTTTCTTTAGAGCAGCGAAGACTGAGGGGGGACATGATTGAGGCATACAAGATTATGAGGGGTATGGACAGGGTGAATAGAGAGCAGCTGTTCCCTTTGGCTGAAGGGTCAATCACAAGGGGGCATAGTTTTAGGGCTGCAAATCAGAAAATATAACTTGGTGAAATGGGAGTGAAAGGAAATGTCAACAGGATAGATATACTGGGTTAGCATTCCTGCTTAGAGTAGTAAGGGCATGGAATGCTCGGCCTGCAACAGTAGTTGACTTGCCAACTTTAAGGGCATTTAAATGGTCATTGGATAAACATATGGATGATAATGGAATAGTTTAGGTTAGATGGGCTTCAGATTGGTTTCACAGGTCGGCGCAACATCAAGGGCCGAAGGGCCTGTACTGCGCTGTAATGTTCTATGTTCTATGTACGTGAAAAATAAATATTTATAGACTGTTTAGCCTGAAGAGCCTGTTACCATTTTGTAATCTCTGTAATACGCTATGTTAAACCATGGGACAATAAAACTGTGGAGATACAGCAAATAATCTTGTGTTACCATCAATTTTGTGATCTCTGAAAGGGCTAGAGTTTAATGATTAAACAAATCCTAGTCAGATTGTTGGCAGCGTGT